AATCGAGGTTCTTCTCGAACCGACGACGAGTCAAGCAAAAAATACTTCAAAAGTCCTTAACGAGAGGAGAATAAAGCCTACACAAATGGTCGCATCGACCAAGCACGTAAGAGCCAATGTCGCCAGCCTAATGAGCCTCAGGGCCATACACACAAAAGGTCGCATCGACCAAAAGCGTAAGAGCCATTGTCGCCAGCTTAAAATTTGAAAACCTGAGGGTCAAAATGAGCTCGAGTCGTAACCCGATTATGAGACCGGACCCAAAATAGTTAACTATACATGCCTAAAGGCATGACGTAAGAGCCATTGTCGCCAGCCTAATGAGCCTCAGGGTCGTACACACAAAAGGATGCATCAACCTAAAGCATAAGAGCCACTGTCGCCAGCTTGAAATCTGAGAACTTGAGGGTCAAAATGAGCTCGAGTCGTAACCCGATTCGGAGACCAGACCCAAAATAGTTAACTATACATGCCTAAGGGCACAGCGTAAGAGCTATCGTCGCTAGCCTAATAGGTCTCAAGGCTGCACACATAAAAGGTCGCTTCGACCCAAGGCATAAGAGCCATTGTCGCTAGCCCATGCAAATTCGAAAACTTGAGGGTTGATTGAGCTCGAGTCGAAACCCGACTCGGAGACTGAACCCAAAATAGTCAACTACATATGCCTAATGGCAAAGTGTAAGAGTCGTTGCCGCCAGCCTGATGAGCCCCAGGGCCACCCGCATATAAGGTCGCTCCAACCCAACACGCAAAAGCCCAAGGGCCAGCTCGAAATCCTAAAAACTTGAGGGTCAGACGAACTCAAGTCGAAATCCGACTCGGAGACTAAGCTCGACCTAATAAAAATGCCCAGAAGCAAAAGACAAGAGCTTAAATGCCACCTTACTCTAAGAAGTAACCAACTCAGTGTGTACGAGTCACTGTCACCAGTCTCGATGATAGTGAAGCTCAGGGGTCTAACCCGAAGACGGGACCCTAGTTCGAAAGTCAAAGAACATCACATAGCATTTCTGAAAAGCAAAAGGGGAGGGAGGAACAAAAAACAAAAACCCTTCTTATAACCTCCAGGGGGATGTTTACAAGTATGGAAAAAACCCTTATAAAGAGAGAACCAAATAGAATCTTAATCTACCATCGAAAGGGAGGTCTCCGGTGTCTCCACCAAAGATTGCATCCTGACGACTACGGGTCCTTCAGCAGCCTCTCTTCGACGGCCCTCTCCCCTTTAGGGGCTCCGACTTCTCTTTTGTCACCTCTTGAGCCACCGCTCGGCGCACCCTCAAAAGCAAGCAAGGCAGCATCTCTCTTTTCCGGGGTCTCCATTCTCTCGAACCCAGTAGAAAAAAATGATATCTCCCACATGTATATCCACTGCCAGAGTCAACCTCGGCTCGGTCCCCTTGGCGCCCCTCCGTCTTGGGCACTTCTCGCAATGGCATCTTCTCAATGCAAAGATATAAGCGTCTCGGCTTCAGTCTTGATCCTGGATAATTCAGCCACCAGCTCGCAATAGAGGCCTCTATACTTGCCACTATCCTCCCTCGCCTCACTAAGCTGACGCCAACTAATATCAATTTCTCCTGGAGAGCATACCTCTCGGAAGATACCTCTCTCTCTTGCCATTTGAGTTCGGAGACTTCAGAGTCTCTGGCCCGAAGCTCCTCCTCAGTAGGGCGTGTTCCTTCTCAAACTATATAAATCAGATCTGAGATGTTAAAACATTGGGATCTGGCAAAACAATCAGATAAAGGCAAACAGGGACTGGGTAACCTGCTCAGTAAGGAGAGCCTTCTCATGCTCGAGGCGGGTCACCTTGACCTGATACCAGGTGAAAGTCTGATCATAAAGCACCTTGGCCTAAAGCCACGAAAAAAGACAAGTTAGAAGGAAAAAGGTTGAGGCAATCGAGGCCCGAGCAAATAGACTGGGAAAGAAAAGATTACTTGCTTGCAAAGCCGGCTCATTTTACCAAAGACTAGGGAAGCATCGATCTCATGAACTCTCTCGAAGATGGTTGGGGGCCTTTCGGGCGCATCTCCGACTTTGACAGGCATCCCGCATCAGGAGATTCTTCGCGCGGGGCGTCCTACACTCTTTTAAAGGGTAGGGTCGTTCCCTGAGGAGAATCAATCACGACCACAACGCTGGCAAGGTCAGCCAGGGCCATCCCTTGTCTATTCGGGGTCCCTGGACTAGGCCCCTCCAAACCACCTAACGAAGGCACCTCAGATCGAGGAGAACTCTGACCACCGACCAGCTCCGGGGCAGAACCCGATACTCCCTCAATTGTCTCTCCGCCACAAAGTGGGGCCGCAGCAACATCAGTCTCCGGCTCAAAATCCATCATCTCTACGGCCCTAGGATCGGCCAGATTTATCCCTCCCTCGGGCATCGTCGGGAAGCTATTTTCCTCCTCACCCTCAACTCGAGGGTTTCCTGCTATTTTCGGGGTAAGGTCTACCGAGTCGGCCTTAGTCTCTTCCACCTTGATCCTCTTAGATTCGGAAGGTCCGTCCAGCGGGTCCCCTTGTCTTTTCTTCCCTTTATCGGGTACCAAAGTGCCTTCCCCGCCGAGTAAAGCTCCCTTCATCAAGGGAACTTCCCCCAAACCTACACAAAGGCAAGAGGTAAGCACAGGGAATGGGAGCGCCGCCAGTAGTTATTTAAGTCGAAAAGGATGACTACGGCAATGGTAGAGGCTCACCATGATGCTTGGCTTCCCACCGAGATTGGGATAAATCACTCCACCCTCGTTTAGCATACGGGCAGGTCGAGTATAGACGACCTACCCAATCCTGGAGGTCCAAAATCGTGCTGGGGTAAATTGTTGCGGCTGCAGTAACAAAGAAAAAAATATAAATATTAAGTGCTTAGAGCAACATAGCCAAAGAAAGGCAAGGGAAGGCAAGGTAATGTGTCTACTTACGCTCCACACTCCACCTCTCAGGGAACGACGTCTTCTCCACCGGGATTAGATCAGAAGTCCACACTCGAACAAATTGGCTTATCCATCCCCCCTTTCCATGATCCTCGGTGCAGGAAAAGAGGGACCTCGCGGCAGTAGAGTTTGATTAGACCCCAATGGAAGAGATGAAGGGTTGTACATCCTGATCAGATGGTCAAGGGTGAAGGGCATCTCCCCAATCACGGTCGTGTACTACCTGATCATGTAAACAACGCCCCAGAATGAAGGATGTATCTGGCCAAGAGTCACTTGGCATCATTGACAGAAGTCGAGGATCACAGGGTCGATTGAGGGCGAAGATGGCCCCACCGGCCAAAAAGTAAACGGGTAGGTGTATACATTGAGGAAACCTATTTTGTGTGTCGTAATATCCTCCTCCGAAGAAGGGATCTCCACAAGCACCATGTTCCCCCACCGATAATCAGCTTTCACTCTTCTGATGTCTATTATCGAGCTAATATACTGAGTCACGGGCTCGCTGCGCCCCGGCTTCGAAGAAGGTCTCTCGGTCCGAAAATTAGAAGCCATCACGAAAGACCCTGGAACACATTCCTCTACACGATGAGGCATAGTCACTTTACCTTAAGATAGGAGCGAAGAGGACGAGACGACAACCTCCTGAGAAGCGGAGGCGAAAGTTTTTGCCATTTCTAGAAATTTCCGAAAGAAGAAGGAGAGTTGCGTTCCTAAGAAAAAATGAAAGCGAATGAAGAATCAACCTTTTCTGAGGTTTTGGAATACAATGAGTTATGGAAAATCAGAAGGGGAGTACTTATAGAAACCCTACGTGTGCATTGAAGAAGGCCAAGAGACAGCCAACTGCCATAGTCAATGCGAAAATCTTCAGGGGTTGTGTGTGCGTCGTGTCTTGGTGCCTTGTGACTGTCGTCGTTACGATAGCATCGGAGGGGGAAGAAATTCAAGGTCGTTTCTTATCACTTTTACTCTAAGAAATGTGGATACTATCTGTGTACGGTAAAATTGGGGGGGTCCAATTTTCTCGTCATAATGGTGCCCAGCGAACTTACTTCTCGAGGTTCGAGACCGAGGTCGTGGCTCGCTGTCAAGGGTCATCGAGGCCCGGTCTCGGGGCAGTACAGACCAATGGCTACATTAGAAAAGAGGGAAGTTCCCAAGACGTTTGGCTAAGACTGACAGAGCCTGGCGGGCTATTCTAGGACGTCAGGACATCATATCTAGCTGTCTCATTCTGATTTTCGAGTAGTTAATGTATTTTGTACGATGTTATGATTCCCCTCCTATATAAGGTGTATTCCGACCATTCTTGTAAACCTTGTTGCTCCAATTGCTCCACAAAAAATATAAGAAATATTCTCTTTGCTTTCTCATATACTCTCTTGATATTATTGCTTTCATCTCTTATCCTCTTATTTGTTAATCATTAATTGCTTATCATTGGCCATAAAGAGCCTCCATTAATTCTATCTTAACTGTTAGTCACACGGCAGCCGTCTTTGATAGCTCGTAATCGAGCTCCGGGATTGGCCTCAAGGCCCAGAATCGACAAGCCCGAGGTCCAAGTAACTGGCCTATCGGTTTGGTTATAGCTTTCTCCTTAACTTTATTTCATCTCTAAATCTCTTATACCTAGCATCAAGTTCTTAACAAACTAGCATAAAAATAGATCACGTATTTTTAGAGTCTCATCAACAAATTTAATTGTTATTACCATTTTCACGGTAAAAAATATTACAAGCCAAATATATAACAGTTGTTAAATTGAATTATTGACAAAAAATTTACTTTTAATCGTATGTAGAAACATCAATCGATAAAAGTGAAATGAAAAAAAGAAGAAAGTTAATGACAACAATTGATACACCCTCCGGCCATCACCAATCGCTCCTCTCTTTCCTCTCTTCATTCTGTACCAAGCAACACCATTTCCGAAAGTATATACTATATTCTGTATAAAAGACAAAAAGAAATCCAATATACTCTAGGCAAATTCTAAATTTACCCGTTGGCTGAAAGAGTATAATCTTAGTATTATATATATATATATATNCCTCTGAACCTAACGCCTGCAACGAGTAATAGCACTGCAGCCACGGGAGTAGGGATTGGCCTGAGCACCAGGACGGCAATTGTAGTAGGAAGCTCCACGACGAGAGCAAGGGATATTGTTCCTCTGCAATGCTCCATAGCTGATGTATCGCCGACTCGTGGCCAATATACGCCTTTTGTCAACCTCCAACTCCTCTAATTCCTCATCCATGCACTCACCTATTCTTCCTTCGCATATTCCTCCTGCAGATCTCAGTGGCATCATCCATCCCACCAACTCTGTCCCATCGTTAGCATCAACCATATTTGAAATGAAAAGAGCTACGATGAGAACATAGAGAGCTTGACCAGAAGAAGCTCTCATTTTGCTTGGTATAATTGAGAAATCAAACAAGCCTTCTCTTCTTTTTGTTTCTCGTACAGGGTTCTTTCTTATTCTCTTCTTTCTTGCTTTATTTGAGCTTGTTTATTGCAAATTATCGAACAAAGAGGACAGCTAATATTGAGTTGTATTATGAGCTGCGTTGTTCTCTTGTATGGTCCACTAAAGTTGGACTTTAATTGCAAAACTGACAGCGAGAATTGCAAGTTGATTATTGGGAATCCAGTCCACTACTTTTATTTTCAACGCGGAAATTTTATTTTTAATTAAGATAATAGCTATTTTGTTTTAAGAAATTAAAATTTCTATCTTATAGGAGTTGCTTTGTCCAGTAACTACCTAAAATTCAGAATAGTTGACACAACATGTGGCTTATGCTAAAGTTTCGAAAAACCCGATGAAGCTTTCTCTTTCTCGGGACATTTTTCAGTACAAATCATAGGGAAATTGCGTTTAAGAGAAACTAACGATGATAAAATAGTTTTAAGTTTTGTATAGTTACGTGTTGCTCCCAAACGCACACGCAAGTATACGTGGTCGACAAGTAATATAGGATTGTAAGTCCATATATCGTATCCACAGAGACTTATGATTAACTATCAACTAAATTAAACTAAGACAATTAATCTATTCAAGCGATTTTTTTAAAGTATACAACAACAACAACAACAACAACAACAACCCAGTGTAATCCCACAAGTGGGGTCTGGGAAGGGTAATATGTACGCAGACCTTACCTCTACCCCGAGGGGTAGAGAGGCTGTTTCCAGGAGACCCTCGGCTCAAAGAGGCAACAAGAAACACTATAAAGTATGAATATTTTAAAGTATGAATATTTAATTAAAACTAATCTACAACAACAAACTAAGAGATTAAAGGAACAAATTGGCAATATTAGAGATGAATTCAATGAGAGACGATATTCTAGAGTTATGCGTTAGCTAACAATCGCGTTGAGTTTTCCCCTTAAATTGTCCAATTAATTTATCTGGTTTATTCATTGACAGGGTTAATATTGCTCGTAGCCTTCTCCCGAAGTACAACTCGCATATTCAAGCTAACCTGATGCCTATATTCCTATAGAATTAGGATTAACAAGAACGCATTTATAATTCATGTATAATAACAAAGCAAGGCGATTAGGTATATTCTTATCCTAACCGTAAATTTGTTCCCGATGCTCGAGTTCAAGATCTCGCTCTACTCAATCTTATTTGCAATCTAAAATTCTCTCTCTCCCGAGTTCAAGATCTCGCTCTACTCAATCTTATTTGCAATCTAAAATTCTCTCTCTCCCGAGTTCAAGATCTCGCTCTACTCAATCTTATTTGCAATCTAAAATTCTCTCTCTCCCGAGTTCAACCCTAGATTTGTAGATAATATTCAATTCGCGATCAAGCAATCAAATAATTAAGTGCAAGATTGAATAAATAAACTAATATGATAAAATAATAAAAACAATTCAAGCTTCAAACTACAACGTTCATGTAGCACCCAAACTCTAGAATTAAAGAACTATGAAATTAAAGAAAGAGAAGAGAAGAAAAACTAGTTAGAAGTCTCCTCCAAGCATGGTGTGTCCCTAGGTCTAAAGTATATCAAAAGTCCAGAAAATAACGTTTTTCCATGTATTTATACCAAGTAGGGTCGGACCTAGATGAAATCTCCCTTTCCCAACCGAAATAGAAAAACTTGCAAACTTAATGTTTTCCATGCGTCGCCCAGTGTGTCGCACTATTGCTTTTTCCTGTCAGACCACAAAAAAACCCGGTCTCTGAACTTTGGAAATTTCTGATAAAAATTTGCATTAATGCGTCGCACAGAGCCTTGCACTAGTGCTTTTTTTCAACAGTTACTTCTTCCTTGAATTTTGACGTCCAGAATTGATCCTCGACCCCCGAACACCTTCCCGGCATAATCCCTTGGGATTTTACTCAGACTTCAAAGTTCCAAATTGCTCGAATTAGTTCTACTACATCTACATAACTTGAAATTACTCCTACAAGGCATAAAACACACAATAAGTGCAAAATACTAACAATTAAAGCTTAAACACAATTAAAGTGTAGTAAATTAGAGTGCGATAAGCGACTAAGATATGAGATTATAGCCTACCACCAATACCACACACTTAAACCATATCTCGTCCTCGAGAAATCAAACTATATTTTACAATAACACGACCTTTTTAAACAACTCTCATAATTCATGATACAAAGAATATTTTAAATAGACTAAGCACTTTAATTTAACGTCCTCACCTCAAGATTTGACTCACAAGTACCAACATTATTTACAACTCATTCACTTACTCTAACATAGAGGTCAATGACCTTACTTTTTCTTCATGAATCAAGTGCTCTCTCACAACAAAAGAGAGTAGTTCCATACACAATAAAGTTTAAGAACATCATAAACTCAAGATAGAAAGAATTCTCTCACTCTCAGAATCAACATTCATATGCCACAAAAGATGCAACATAGGGTTGCTTGTAGTGTACTGCTCTACTAATTGAGTTCATTCAATCAAGGATCAAGTAGGACTTTATTTGGTTGTAATGTAGGTTGCGGGATGGGTAGGATATATTTAGATATAAGAGTGACTACACCTCCCTAATTACTTTAATACATACACATTAACATTTAAAATTCCACACTTATGTCAAATCATAACTCCACATTCACATCAATATACATCAACTCCCTACTTCTTTAAGCATAATTACATCAAGAGTTATAGCTTTCAAAGAATATTTTTCACAACAATACAACTATTTTTCTTTCTTTTCTTTTTCAATTCAAGTGGCTCTTACTTTTTTAAAATAGTGCACCTTTCTCCTTATTTTATTAGTTCCACTCAAAAGTTAAACCAACCACCACACACTTTAACTTTTACAAAGTTCATAACAATTCCAAGTGCTCACGAGAGGTGAAAAAGTTCAAATAGATGGTTAAGTCAAACAAATGGTTGTGAGCACGTGATTTTTGCCCTAAATATGACTATTCCCAAAATCCCAAACAAAATAATTTTTCTTTATTTTTACAATTTTTGCGCATTTCGGTATCATTTTCTGATAATTGTTGCATTCTATTTGTGCATGTTAATTTTTATAAAAATACAAAAATATGCATTTTTGCATTTAGGTTTTAGTTTTATGTTTTTTTAGTATCAACTAAAGTTTAAGTTGTTTAGAACAAAACATGAAAATCACAAAATTAGTTCATTTTTGCATTTTAATGATTTCTATTGGAAATTCGTCATGAAATAGTTTTCAAACAATTTTAAGAATTAATTAGTCTTCGTTTTGAAATAACTAGGATTTCATGTTAGTTTTACATCTCCATAAAAATTAGAAAAAATTATAAAAATTGTAAAAGTAAGAAAGGAAAATAAAAAGAAAATAAGAGTAGAAATTTGGTCTTAATAGAAGACCCAAATTTGGGCCAATTTGTTGGATTTTTCAGACCCAAACGCCCTAAACCCGTTGCAAACCAGTCCAGCCCAAACCCCCAACCCGATCTGGTCCCTAGTAAGTCCAAACGACGTCGTTTCCCCAGCATTCAACCACGACCGTTGGATCTCATCAATCCAACGGTCCGGATCTAACCAGGTTGTTTGTATATAAATGTCTGAAAACTCCCCCTACCCCATTTGCCTCATCTTCCTCACCCTACCTATCCTCAACGAACCCTAATCTGCGCCGCCATCAAACCCCTCGCCGGCGGTGAACGTCACCTGCACCGTTCAAGCCCAAAATTACACCACTCGTCCTCCTCACTCCCCTTTTTCCGTTCCACCCACTGGTTCCCCTCGAATAAGGCCGGAGCTCGTCGAATCTTCGACTGAAGTTTCCGGTCAGATAGCAGGTTGATCCAAACCAGCCCAAAGTCATACCACACAATCCCCGGTCCTCCCTCAACACTAATCCATGATTATTTTCCTTCAAATCTTTGTGAAACGGCTCGAATCTTAGATCTAAGAATTTCTGGCCAAAACCCTAAACCAAAATCTTTGTGATTTCGAACCGTAGTATCCTTAACCATGTGTTCTCTTGTAAGAACACATGGTTAGGGATGTTACGCGTCAAAAATCTGAAAGGATTCAGACGTTAGTGACTGGCCGGAGTTCCTCGTGCTTCTGTGAGTTTTTCCTGTTTCTTTTTACTCGCATGGTTGAAGTTTTAGTTACAGTTTTTGTTTCATTAAGTGTTCTGTTAATTTTATGATTTATTTGTATTAGTATAGTTCTGTCAATTACTGTTAGTTCTGAGTTTGATATTTGAATGGTCGATTGTGAGTTTATTGGTTAAGAATTAGTCTAATTTCATTTAACGTTGATCATGTTAGCTCAAGCCCTGCTTTGATTGATCCTAGTTTCTGGTTTGTCTTAGTCTGATTAAGTGGGTGTATTTGAGCAATTGGGATTGGTTAGTTTAATTAGTTGATTTTCTGAGTGCTAATTAATCAGTTTCAGTTAGTTCTGGATTAACTTAGGGGATTGGTTATAGCTGTTAAGGATGAGGGTAGGTTCAGTAACTTTGAGAAGCCTTCAGGGGTAGTTTGGGTAGGGAAAAGGGTAATTCTGATAGGAATAGTAATTTCAAAGTATATGAAAGGGCAGTACAGGTATTGTATGGGTAAGGGAACACCCTAGGGCCTTCTAAAATAGGATTTTAGTGCACATTTCAGCACAATAGGGGTGTTTACTTGTTTAGCAAGTCAAGAATAGAGGAACTAAATTGAAATAAGGGAGGGACTAAAAAGAAGGCCTAAAATCTGATCTACTCTCTCTTGTTGCCTATATAAGGGCATGAAATGCCTTGGGAAAAGAGGTTCTTCTTCTGCCTTCAGCTCTGAGCTCAAAATCCCCACCAGAAACTCTCCTCCCTGCTTTCAATTTCAGCTGGCATTTTAATTCCAGGTTTATTCAGAAAACAAAACATTAAAAATGAAGAAATCCAAAACAATTTTACAGTTTCATTACTAGTTTTGGATTTCAGTTGGGTTTGGGTCTAGCAGGATTGCAGGGGTATTTAGATTCAGCTGTGAGGGCTAGGAGTGTATTTCAAGTGTGTGTTTAATTGATCTGTGGA